TAAGTTATTTAATAAGATAGGAAGCGACTATATATTCTACTCCTTCTTTCTATAGTCTTTAGCTACTTCCATAATAGATCCTAAACCTTATCCCCCGGATAGAGAGTATATCTTCCCTTAATCGACTATAAAAGTACTAAAACTATACGGCTTTACTCTTATCTACTCGATTAACTATAAGCTTTACTCGCGCTTACGTTAACTACGAACGAAATATCGCCCTCGTTCTATTAAATTCGGATAGCTTCGGAAGCTTATTTTTTCGTTATACGACTACGGTTTCCGTAATAATATCTACTATAAGGGTTTTAATAGGAGCTTATTTAACTACTATAGAACCTATCTAATAAGGATGTTAAGCGAAAGGGAAGAGAGAAAGAAGTCCTGCCGCTATCTAATAGGGAAATATAATCTCCTAGGGTGGGTCGCCCGGTATTCTAGGTAACTATTAGTATTACGTAATATCGTTCGGCTATATAACTATACGGTCGAATCTAGGTATCGCTAGTTTAGTCTTAGCGTCGCTCGCTAAGATATCTATTAATACTACGTAATATCGTTCGTCGCTAGTTCTTACTAAGATACTTATAGATTTAACCTATTATAGTATCCCCTCCCCCCTCCCCCTCTATATTCTAGGGAGTTTCGTTATCTATATATCTTCGGTTACTAAGTCTCGTATATATCGAGGACTATCGTATCCTATATAGCTAACTTAGGTTCCTACGTTAGTTTAATATAATCGACCTACTTTATAAGGAATTACTTTTATTAACCTCGTCCGCGGCGTATAGACCTATACTAGAGGATCTTCTTAATCTAGTATTCCTCTTTATCTTCTACTAGTACGAAGTTTAGTTATACGTCGTCTATAACCTAGGAATCTAGCGGATTAGTACTTACGATACGTAGTAAGTCTAAATAGAAGACGTTATAAATATCTATCGAAGTATTTAGTCTATAACTATACGAGTCTACTACTTCGATTATAGTATACTTCGTATTCTTCTAGTCTAGCTTCTTACTTTAACGTATTATACGTATATTCTTAAGGTTTAGCTAGACCTTATTCCTAACTCGAAATTTAGGTACTTATTATCTCGTATAATTAGTAATCTTCTTTTATTCTTATTATACTATAGCTATTAAGGTTTATATCTATTCCCTAGCCTTCTATAACTATCGTACGATCTCGTCTACTCGCTATATAGAGCTATCGCTTAACCTCCTATCGTCTAGGTTTTTCGTTATTTATATAGGCTCTATATAATATTCGTAGGATAGGAAGAAAGGACTAATACTAGTAAACTAAGTATTATAATTATTAATAGAGAGTTCGGCCGCTAGTATCTATCGTACCTAGTTATTCTACGCGATATTTACGAATATTCGTACGTATATTTCTATAGTTTAGTTTATTCTTTCTATCGATCCGTCTATCTCCGGATAGTAAGCCGTCGAGAGCCGTCGTACGATTCCTAATAGCTAATAAACCCTCTTCTATAGGATACTAACGAACTACGTACCTCGGTCCGAGATAATCGTAGATAGTAAATCGTAATTTCGATAAAACGTATAAACGAAGAGACTAGCTATATCCTTAGAAGTAATTATACGTATTAGTTCTAGTATTACTTTCTTTCCTAGATAATTAGTAATTATAGCGAGGTTCGTATACCCTTCGCTTAGAGGTAAGTTAGTAATAAAATTAATAGAGATTTCTTTCTATATACGACTCGATACGGAAAGGAGTTTTAAGAATCCTTATCGTTTCTTCCTCTACGCTTTTATACGTCTATATATATCGTAATTATATACGAACTATCGAATATTTTATAGTATATTTAACTAAAAGAATTATCGAGATATTAAAACTACGATAGCTTTTCGTCTAGGGTAATTTCTAATTATAGAATCGTATATCTCTTAGATTAGTTTCGTATAAAGGAATTCTAAATTAGGTACTTAACGTCTTCCTCGAAAGAATAGATATTCGCTTTCGTCTATCGTATACTTAGAGATTAAGACT